AGCGTTGGGTTCAGTTGCCTCCGACTTCCATACTGTCGTATTTGACACGTCTTACGTGTCATTGCTTACCGACTAGTATCCCAGGTTCCGCCCAACAAACTTAGCGCGGATTTGTCGATAGCCAGTTTATTGCGTATGCTAATTTAGCGAAGAGTCAAGTCGGCATATCCGTATGCCTTAATTGATATATCTTATTTGATATCGTCGTTTCACGTGATTGGCTGTTGTTTGATATCCCCGGTGTGGCTGCGCTTGATATGAATGTTGACAAGGTACCTACCTGTCTATTACCCACCACCTCTTGGAGACAGTTGGTCGTTACTGGAGGGGACGATATGGACGTTCCTCGTGACCATGCTAGGCTCGTAGAGTGGTTCCATCCACCGCCTTGTGTGCGCTTGATTTCCAAAATACAGCGTGCTTGTGTTTGTCTATGAAGGAATGTGGGTCGTCTCCGTTGTTGAAACGTGGCTCCTACCCACATGTTTCCCGGTCTTATTCCTTCTGGTTAACACTGGATATTGGGTGTTTGGATGGAGCTGTGGGTGATGCATCGCTAGCCACCCAAGGTTCCTGTGTAGGCGTGGGCGTCTTGTGTAGGCCGCAGTGACAAGCAAATCCTGAACCGAATGCCGCCAACCGTATTCCTCGAACAATCCAGCTGAATCATCTAATCATTATCTACAGCGGAATTGCATGAAACTGATTTTCTACGTTTTCCATCGCATTTCCCAAACGTTTTAGGAGGGCAGAGATAGTGGACCAGGCGTCTTTTGGGCAGATTGAGGGGTTTTCACAAATAATTAGTATAGATAAATCCAAATGTTCAAGTTAAATACTACGGCTATCCATGAAACCGTATAGTGGGTACCTGCTTTCATGCGAGATATACCGTCGATAGGTTTGGTCCGCACTTGCCCCATCTGTGGCGCCCGAAAAGATGATTGTTATCTTCTATGTACAATTTCATTCCAGACCAACTGTAAATTACTCTTTCCTGTTAATCACCCTTACACCGGCCATGTTTGGCCTACACCCGGTTTGTCACATTTACCTTTGGTGAGTCCAACATGGACCTTTGCTCCTGGTCGTTTCATCCGTCTTCATTTTGTTGTATCGACACACTACAGTCCTCTGTGTCCGACGTTTCTGCCTTTTGGTATTGGCGCTCGATCAAGGGCATCGTACCTGACTAGTATCTATTCGTCCCACATATCTCGCCATATGTTGGTGTGGCTTTTAAAACCGTCACCTGTCTAACTCATTTTTAAAGCTTTTCTCTATGTGGCGTGGACCCTCAGGCCATCTAGCCCGAACCAACCATCAGTTTCTATTACTCAATCACTTTTTCTCGCCAGAGAGCTAATGATAATGCACCTTGCATGTGTATACTTATTGGCGTTGGAAACTTCAATCTGTCACCTCAGGAACTCGCATGTTTTGCTACTGCGCAAGAAAGACCGATTCATTTTTCTATCAACTTGTACGGGGGAAGTGTGGAAGACATCACTACTCGAATCATCGATATGCAATTTTCGGGTTCATCCGTCAGTTGCATGTGATAGACAAATGCCGAAACTGATATCGCTGAGCAAGGCTACTTGCTCTCCGTTCCTGGGCTGTCACCTCCGGAAAGAATTAGAAGCAGAAACATGTCACATTACAGAACGAATGTTAAAAAAGCGAACCGTAAATACACAAATAAAACAACAGTTTATATCTCGATAGTGCGAGACACGGACCATGTGGTTACTCCTATCAAATTGTGCAATTGCATCGTCAAGAAGAGTTTGTGTTCAAGCCGTTTATAAGAAAAGTGGTTCCGGATCGATGTTTCCGTTGTTCAACTATTTGGGGCAGCCGAGATGTGTAGGAAGTGATATCGACGGGTTTTCCTAATCACTACGTAGATTGTGTGCTTATACCTCCGGACAAAAAGGGTTAGTCAGGAATAGGGGAGAAGGTTCTTTCAACGGAAATTTGCTATTTACTATATGGCGATTAGCCCTGCCTAACACAACGTGTTTATACCCCTGTGTTGATCATGTCTCTCACTATGTTCACTGTCAATTTTATGTTTACTAGTTCACGGAAATACCCCTCTTTTAGCCGCACACTCCAGTTCTGCAGTGACTTGTGCCACATAACTGCCTAGAAGTTAAAATAAAAATTTGATCTTAACCGAGTTTGTGCTTTTTCGCTTATTAATATGTTACGTCTATTCCTTATATCGTACTCAAGCGAAGCTTGAAGTATCACCTCGATGTCTGAGGCAAAGAAGTATTAGTGGATCATATCAAACATGTAGCTAAGGTTGAGTCGTAGTCTTCTTAACCAGAGGAGCTCTATGTCCACCTAACAGCAGCGTTTGTAGTAAGATTACCAGCGTCCCTCATTAGACGCTTCGTAAAGCAGCACTCTACATTTTCTTTTACAGTTCTGCCACCTTTCCTAGGTTGGAGTATATTATTATGCGGTATTCTAATGGGGGACGTATACGAGGTTTATATGTGTTGCTTTTGAATCCATTCAAGTCTCCCTGTTTGGACAAACTTCCTCCGCAGATCTTCAAGTTTGGTGGCCCAACACTTGTTAAGCATATGATATCACTGTTTTCCAAGATATGGCACGAAGAGAAGATTCCATTTTCATGCGGTGAGTCAGTAATTGTCCCTATTTTCAAGAAAGGTGCTCGCACATCCCGTGCTAATCACAGGGGAATCAGTCTCATGCCGGTTGCTTCCAAACTGCTGGCATCCATTCTGCTCCGCAGACTGTCCCCGATCCGGGAGTTGTTTTATCGAGAAGAACAAGCTAGTTTTCACCCCGGTCGAGAATGTGTGAACCAGATCTTCATGCTGCGCCACATTTTTGAACACCGCCATCTTTACCACCGACCAACCATAGTAGTTTTCCTAGACATTATAGCTGCATTTGACTCGGTCGATCAGCCTGTCTTATAGTACTTTGCTAAGAAATGGCGTTCCTGAAATGAACACTTCCATCACTCGGGCGCTTTACTTCCAAGTGTCAGATAGAGTGAGGGTCTATGGCAGGCGTTCCTCACTCTTCCTTATCTCTTATGGTGTACCACAAGGGTCCCCTTTGTCTCCATTCCTCCTCAACTTTGCGATTGAGAACTTCCTGTTAAGATCTCTGGAACACTCACAAGATATAGGGGTTGAACATCTTCCTAGCAATCGCGTGACTGACTTAGATTATGTTGATGATATCACTCTGATCGGTGACGAATCACGGAGTGTACAGCCCCTTTTGAACCGTTTGGCGGTTGACATGCGCTTTTCCCCCTCCAAGTGTAAAGTACTACTCCAGGACTGGAAGTCGTCTGCCCCCTCACTTACCATTGAAGGAACACAGCTAGAGCTTGTGGACAGCTTTGTCTACCTTGAAAGCTGTATTTCTACTGATGGCACTATTGAAAAAGTGGTATCTCTTCGCATCGCCAGAGGCCGGTTGGCATTTACCGGGACATATCCCTCTCCTTAATGGGGAGCGTCTACAACAATTGTGTCCGCGCGATCCTGTTGTACGGAAGTGAGTTCTGGCCGATTCGTGTGGATGACATGCATTTGCTTTTCGGCCTTCAATATCACATGTTTGCGACGGATAGCTAGTGTGTGGTGGCAGTACGGGGTTCGCAGTAATGAAGTCCGCTGTCGCTT